CTTTAATAAGGAAAGTAGAGAGCTACAGCAAAAGCCAAGAAAGCATAAAAAAATAATCCTGTAGTACGTTTCATTACACCAAACCAGAAAAGATTGTCATATCTTTGAAGAATGTTATAATGACTGGTCAAAACTATAAACTCAAATAAAAATGTCACAATATCAAAAGATGTTCAGATGTGGTTCAAAGGCTGTGGAAAATTTAACAACTAACTTTTACTCATTAAAAATATAAATAAAATAAAGAAAATTGTATTAATATCTGAATTGATTGGACCGACACCAGAGAACATTATAAAAACAGATCAAAATATTCGAATAGAAAGCAAATGAAATATTAGCCTAATCAATACAAACTACATTTCCTCTAAACATGGGAAGTTGTAGGTTTTGTTAAGTCTACACCTGCGGATGACTGTTAGCCGGTCCTTAGACCAGGGTCCTGTAGAGCCGCTGTCCTGCAGGTTTTAGAGGTTTCTCTGCTTTAGCACAGCTGATTATGATGATTGCAGTTGAGCAAAAGCCTGTTAATCAGCTTTCAATTAAAATCAACTGTGCTGGAACAAGGTAACCTCTAAAACCTGCAGGACAGTGACCCTCGTTTATCCAGTTTGCCTGCCTTAAACCAATAATCATCTCCTGTTTCAACCTGCAGAGGTCTTCTCATAAATCCTCTCCAATTTTAAAGCGTAACCATTCAACTATTCTTAACACCATAAAATCTACATCCTTGTCTTTAAATCAATGTTTAATTGATCATTATTCTATTCGTTGGTGTACTTTTCTATAAATCCACCAGAAACGTAGGATTTTCCCAGCAGCACTCATTTATTCTCAATCCACGCAGTGACTCACTCACCATCACTTTAACTGTCTACAGTTTTAGACGTTTGAAGTGAGTTGTAGTTCACTGAAAACCATTGGTGACAGTATACTGGATGACTAATTCAACACAGTTTATATTGTTCTCTGGGAAAGTAGCTCCCATAGCAACTCCAATAGACAGCTCCCTTCTCTGTATCTTTGATCACTATTCTTTCATCTTTTGTGAGCCTGGCACTGGCACAAAATTGCAGCTTAGTGTGATATATGACATTCCATCTTGGCAGCGTATGAAAAATAAATTAGATTTCCCTACACCATTTCCTGATCAGCTCCTTTACCCCCCTCCACCACCACCAAGGCCTTTCCCTCCCGTATTCACACCTGCCTCTCTTCTTCCAGCCCAAACATGTGAAAACCCGACTGCTAGACAAACAGAGAGCGTGTTGGCATCCAGCGACACACAGCAGGTTTCAAGCTGTAGACGTCATGGATTCATTTCTTTTAGTTTAAATCTTAAATACCACAGAGAAAACCCGGCCCTTTATTTTAAAAATTGTGCTTAAGAATAAACTAAGAAATCTATTATATATTTTCTAAAACACAATTCTGTCCCTAAAATTACTCTCTTCTTCAGCTTGCATAACTGGCATTTATAAAATACCAAAAGTACATTCATATATATAAGGTGCACAGAAATAAATGTAAGAAAAACATTTTTGTAACCCTGATTGAGTCCTATGTGGTTCTGTTCTTTTCAGTTATAGTTACAATCATTTTGATTTAGCTCAAAGCTTAATATGAAATTTAGATTTGTGAAAAACATGTTCTTACATCCTCACACCTATGAACTCAAGTAACTTTTTTAATTTGTGTTCTCTTCATCCTTTTCTTGATCACTTGTTCGAGAAAACAACAAAGTAAGGGAGAAAAGAAAGAAAGCGATCTTAAACAGGAGAGGCGGATAGAGGAAGGATTAAATGGTTACATGGTTATTTTAAAAAAATTATAAAAAAAAAAAAAAAAAGGATTAAATGGTTACATGGTTATTTAAAGAAATAATTAAAAAAAGAAAAAGGATCCATTAACTTATAGTTAATACTGAACTCAGATCTGCCTCCTGAATTTAAGAAATGAAATTATCCTCCAAATGTCATAGTTGACAGGCTCATTACAATGATTTTCAGTTCAGTTCAGTTTAGTTTATTCGAACAACAAAACAATATAAGATGTGTAAATACAACACAACACAATTTCCTTGAACATTCGCTCAACATGTTGCCCCAACATCTTTATTTTACTTTATTTAACTGAACTTTGGTCACAAGATGGACTCTCCTCTAAAATGTCATAATGAAGCGAGTTTATGGCAAAAAAAGAATTCTTAATTAATATCTGTAGAGTTATTGTTGCGAGACTCCCATATACCCACGCAGAGATGATAAACATGCTGAAAAATAAAGGTAACAGTTGTTTTACTGAAACATAGTTCTAATAATTTGAGAACAAATGTATTTATTAATATGTCAGACTTTGTGGAATCGTAAGATAAAAGAGGAACCTAATTAGAATAATACATAATGGATTTCCCAAGACATCGCAAAGAGTGAAATTATACCTTTAAAGACTGGAAATTTGTTGGTTCGCCTTTCTGAGTCAAAAATAATTTATCTGGCTTCAATCAGTGTGCTATCGAGAAAAAAAACAACTTTTCAAGCTTCTGGTTCCTCCTTTAGTCAGAGGGAAATCAGTAAAAGCTTCAAAGAGACAAGAAATATCCTTTTATGGAAATTTAATTGAAATAAGTGAATAAAATTGTAAACCACCACATCTCATAGTGAAATACCTATGGAGTCACAGAGGGGTCAAAATGTTTGCAAACTTATAAATCTTAGTAGAAACAAAAAAATAAAAGTTGAAACAAGAAAAATATAGGTTGATATTGAATGTGAAATTTTTACCTTTTAATCTGAGAAACTAAAAAAGCAAACATAAAATAATAAGAATTAAATCTAAATTCTTCCCCTGAGCTTGAAAAGACTCATAAATCAGTTTACTATTTTAATTAAACTTTTTTCTTTTTTTTCTTTCTTTTCTTTATTGCAGTTTTAGATTTTATATGTTCAGATTCAAATCCATTTCTTTCAGTTTATATATTTACATTCCCTTTTCAGTCTTCATTTCAAATCAGTTGTTTTCAAATTTAGAATTTATTAAAATTAGGGTTCGGGTTAGATAAAAAAATAAAATAAAATATTTAGATTTTGACCCCAATCTGACAGGTGTGGGTGGGGAAATGTAGGTGACAGCTTGCAGGAGCACTGGAGCGAGTCCCGTTCCATGTTGCATTCATGGACTGTAGGTATCCAACCAGTTGAGCAAGTTTTTTGTATACACTCTGTTTATACAAAATAACAATAAATGTTGCCTAATATCTACTGTAAGTCTGCAGCGCTGCAGAAAGCTGTCAATCATGTTTCCCGCCCACTCCTGTCAGAGTTGGATCAAAATCTGAAGGTGAAAAAAAAAAAAGATTTTAAAGTGTAAAAAAAAAGTCCTAAAACTGAAAAAGACATTTGAAAAAAAAAAAGAAAACCTTAAATGATGGATGTGAATCTGAAAATATAAAATCTAAAAATGCAATAAAGAAAAGAAAAAAAAAAGAAAACGTGTAATTAATATACTAAACTGAATTTAGATTGCATTTTTTTTTAGTTTCTCACATTTTAAAGGAAAAAATTGACATTAAATATTAACTTCTAGTTTTTTTCAGTTTCAATTAAGATTTACAATTTTACAAACATTTTGAAGCCTTTCTGACTTCACCTAATAGTTACCTTATTAAGACCGATCTCTTCTAACTGTTCACTCGCGCCTGGATCAAGATTGCTTCCTGATTTAACCAATGTTTAGTTTTTTTGCACAGGATTTAACTGAGAACGATTTGCACGCTCACAAGGAAAAGTTTATTTAGTACATCTAGAAGCATAACAAGTTCTTTCCTCTCTTCTCTGGAGAGAACAGGCAGAAAGCATCAAAAGCATGCGCACACTCTTGATCACATTAGATCCATCATGATGCAAAGTGTGCATGAAGAAAGTAAGACGGCTTTCACTGCAGCTTAGAACTCACACTTCTTTAGAACACAGACATTATCATTAACAGATAAAGCAACGTGACACACTACTTCACTTCATACATTCAAGTCAGCTGCTGGTTCATTTCAAATTTCCCAGGAAATCGTTCAGGGCAACACATCTTTCTTACCATTCAGTTTTTAATGCAAAGGTTCACTCTGATCTGATGCTAGAGGGACATTAGATCTTCTTTCATTTAAAAACAAACATTTGATACCGCCAGTGCAATAAGAAGCTAAAATGCACTTATAATGGGATTGTTTTCATGTTCATCTAAGGGTTATATTTATTTGAACTGCTCTTTTTTAAGGGAGAAAATCAATATGCTACATTAAACCTCAGAAGCTTGATTACTGCAAAAGGTGTGAGTTCACATTTATTAAGGGCCTTTGAACAACAGACATAAGTTATTATGATGAATGGATGCTAAAGTTTGAGGAGAATTTAATAAAGATTCCATGTAATTAAAACCAACACTGCTTGAAATCTTTTATATTTCAGTTTTTTTTTGTATATAAAACTCTTGGTTTAATCAAATATGCATATTCCACTGCTATATTTGTAATAACCTTAAGCTTCTCCATCCATCTTTAGTCTGTTATTCAATAATTAGGAAAAACAGCAGTATATGGAAAAAAATATATATTTTATTGGAACATTCAGCAGATGCGCTGGAGGATCTGGATGTTTTTAACAAGATTGAATCATATTTTTCTTCTAAAAACCATGTCGAAAATGGTCAGCAACTGATGGAGCATTGTAAAAAAAATAAAAAATGGACATTATTTCCTTTGTTAAATAAGATGTCTAATTTTTAAACAGTTTAATTAACTGTTGAATCATTATTGCAAAGTTTTTCTATTTTAGATTTAGTTTTGTATAACATTTACTGACAGTATGAGTTGTTTTATTGGTTATAATCATATATCTAATGAAAGAAAATAAGAATAAATCCTACAAACAGAGTCTCACATTTAATCAGACCTCAGGTTCTATGAAAGTCATTTGAAGCTTCATGATGTCAACAAAAAACCTCCTTACCTATTTTGTGGTATATAGTGCCATATGGTCCCTCAGAAAAACCTCCTGGCCACACATTCACAGTCTGAGCGCCGGAGGAACACTCAGCCTACAGAGAGGAGATAAAAGAACTCCGTTCAAAGTCCACATCTCTTTTACATGAACATGTTGGTGGGAAAAGTGTAGAAAATGAAAAGGTCAAGTGCCGATCCTTAGCAGGTGAATACTAAAGCAGCCTTTATGCATTAACAAATCACTTGATGTCTTACAAATGTGACCTTTGTGACTGTTAGTAATTCTTCTTTCTGACACATTTAGAAAACTGAGCTCTCTCCTCAACATGCTAAACAAAACAGCCGTTATTATATGTCTCTGCCGAGGGCAAATCTCACTAAGCCACAAAACCTTTTAAAAATTCAGACAGCAGCGCTATGATTTGGAGTGAATTATGTGCTTCTCAAACAAAAGCAGGGTGAAAAGAGAGAGGGAGGGGAATAATAAGGCTTTAAGGAAAATTATTGAAATTTAGCGCAACAGGGTGTTTATGCTTGGCTTTGGCTCCCAAGTGACATAATAATCTCTTCAATGACTTGACGAACGTTATTTGTCTACTGTTCTGATTTTTCGCGGCCAGTCTTTCCTACGAGCTGTTTTTCTTTCTAAACACGCAACGGGGGGGCGGCGTTACTTGTTTGCATTAGAAATTTGTGTGGGAGTCAAAGTGTGGGTGCAGATGCCTGCATGTCAGCGAGGACATGTAAATTATGCTTCATGTGTAAGGAACCATAAAATGATGCTTGAATTACAAAGATCAAGAAAATACAATAAGAGATCTGGTTTCACAGAAACACAGGATTCAGTCTTTATTATTAATATTGATAAAACTATCGCTGTCACAGACATCCAGACTCCTGCCCGTTTCTGCCCCTTATGTCCAGATCACTGCAGAGCTTCCAGATCAATGGATGTTTTGCCTTTAAATACAAAAAAAAAACAGTTTTTGGTTTAAAGAAGCCAAATGGTTGAATTTTTAGTTACTAAACCAAAAGTATCAAAGGAGCCAAAAATCATCAGGCTTTATTAATGTAATTAGGCATTACAATAATTTCACAAGTTAAATGGAAACAATTAACAATAAAGAAATTAATGAACAGGCATGAATTCAAATATTTAGATAGATGTGTAAACAGAGAATCCAATCATATATGATTTATTGGAAAAAAATTATAATTAAAATACAGATAGGCAAACAAATTTATACAATACCAGACAAAGCATCAGAAACTTAACATATTTCAAAGAGTAAAATTTGTTATATGGATTAATAATGTAAATTAATAACCTCATAAACTAACTAATAAATAATATCACAAATAGAAGTAAAATGCATTAAGGCAGAAATATAAACTTATAGTAAAGGTCATTCTACTAAAATACATATATTTAAAATATACAATAATTTTAAGAAGAAACCTGATTATGAGAATTAAAGTAAATAAATAAATGTTATAAGTAGCATACTTACAAAGAATAGTCAAAATAATATGCAAACAAATACAAAACATATTCAATTAAATAAGTAGGAAAAAAACCCAATCAATAAAAAATACAGATAGATACAGTATAAAAAAATAACATGTAAATATAAACATTTATATTAAAGTAGTAAAAAAGCTCTGATCAGCTGAAATGAAAGAAGATTTAAAACCAAATTAATAATAGGAAAGCAAACAAAATGGTACAAATATTTAATTCAAGAAAATAGAACATGCACACATTTGAATATAAAATGTTTATCAATTTAGAATCAGGTACATTGGGAGCAATTTATCAATTAGTTTAAAATATTTTCATTGCAGAGTAAAAAAAAAATCAAGATTAGCGTTTCCCACTGACTTATTTCACACATTAACATAATTAGTTCTAATCTTTATTACTTGATAAAACATTAAGGTAAAGGTTTGGAAACAGCTTTTTCTATGTGCCGTTTGACCAAAAGTAAAACACACTTTACTAAAAATGATGTCGATTTATACAGACTACAATGATTGGGGAAAGTAAGGAGTGTAATACTGATTATTTTCAATTCTCCTCTTTTATAGAGTTGTTGTTATCCTCTAGGGATTAACAGTCACAGAATGCAAACAACACATTATCGTTCCTCATCTTCATTAAGATTCCATTTAAAGCTGCTGCTTTGTGCATTAACCTGCTGCGATGCACATTCAGGCTTACAAAATGATTGTGGGAATTGAGACTTTAAAAGATGCCAGGAGAGCACAGTTTTATTACAACACAACAACACTATTAATCACATTCGCAATGCATTTAAAATCTGTTTACTCTTGTCTGGCACTATCATTTTGATCTTCCAGGGTTTAATTTACAAATATAAGCTTGTTGTATGGGCTGTAATTTGCAGCTTTTAAATCAGAAAGGTTCTGAGGAAACCAGGAGGGCATGTGCAGGCTGTCTGAGCCACTTTACAATACGGAACTGGGAATATTTTTGGCCCAGTTCTACTTATTTGTTGGTCTGAGGAGATCTGTGAATAAACAGCATCTTGTAGGTAGAAAGGAAAAGCACGGAAGTCGACCGTTAGTTTGAGAGTCAGGCAAAGACAGGTTGGCACACCGCTCCTTATAACCTCAGCAGGTGATTAGCTGATAGGTGGCAGGTGTGAATGATCAGGAGCCAGCTACCACGCCCACCAGTAGAGATCAACAATCCTGCAGCAAACTAACACTGTATTAAAATATGCATCTACTCTTTAAAGCTGTAAATGAGGACAATTGCTTCCAAAATAAACCATCTTTTAAATTACAAATTTGTATGGAAATATGGACAGTTTTCTTATTTTGCTGAAATAATTGGATCCTAAGATTTCTAGTAACTTGAGTTTAACAAGAATGAATGACTCTAATTTCATACTCCTTTAATGCTCTTACAAATAATTTTAATGTCATCAAAATATATGTATATATATATATATATATATATAAACTTTTTCCAGCCACTTTTGTTGTAATTTGCATTTTCCCCTTATCTAGCTTTTTCTCAAGCTTCTTTTCCGAACATACGGCTTTACGATCAACCAGAAGCGGTTCTGCACAAACACTCGGCTGGAGTCATATCTGATATAATATATCAGATGAAATTATTTTCATAAGTTGTTTTTTTTATATATATATATAAAACATTTTAAATGCCATGATAATCACATTTAATGAATTTGAATGCCAATTAAGGCCTTAATTTAAAAAATAATAATAATTTAAAGACTTAATGACTTTTAATGACCCTCGGAAACCCTGTAACCAATTATTATATCATCCCCATGAAGAGGTGTGTTCAGGACGCAAAGCAATGCACTACATGTGTTTCTAGTGACGTGGAAGCCACATTTTCCCCAGTTACAGCGACCTACAATGGAGCCAAGGTCACTGGAGGAAGAAAATCTTAAATTTTGTTTTATTTCTATTTTCAAGATGACCTGTGTAGAGCTGAATGTGGCTGTGACACAGAGTGATGGAGCACAGCAAAGACAAAGCTTTTTACAATAAGAATGTAAGAAAGAAAAACATTAACGTTTTGCTGGTGGCTTTAAAAAAGCCACTTTAAGCTAACCCTGTTAAACCATGTGTTCTTATTTAGCTCTAGAGCAGGTCCTGACCAGCATCCACACTGGTGGCGGCTTTGGTGCATTCTCTGCAAGGTGTCTTGTTCCGATCTACAGAGCTGGCCCATGCCATTCACCACCTTGCCCTACTCTGATGCATCTCTGCCAGGGTTCTTACCCTCATCTGCTGCTCCTGTCTGAGCTCCATATGCAGCCTCACCTTACCGTTGTTATCAGAGCGATCCTTCGCCAAAGCTGGATAGTTTCAGGTCCTGGTTAGACAAGTGCAACGTGGAGAGTGACTGTGATTCGGTTGCAGCTCGATCCTTGACTCAGTGACCCAAGAGCTTCTCTTGAGGATCTGGTGGACCACAGGATGCTAGAGCCACTGTTCTGCTCCCCATATAGAATAAAGCACTTTGGCTCGCTCGGTAAAAATAAAGTCCTTTCATCTGAGTTGAATCAGGCTGGAAGCAAATAAAGATTCTATTAAATGATGCAATGAAATTACTAACAAATGTTAACTTTGTTGCTGGAATCGCTGAAGATCAAAGAAACTAGAGGTAGCTCCATTAATTAGAAATTATTAAAACTAGTTTAATACTTTTATTTTATTGTTTCATTTCTAAACGTATACCTCAAGATTAATTTTAGACAGTGATATATCATGCATAATCTCGGTTTTATTGAAGCTAACAATTATTACAGCTTCCAACTTCCTTTTGAGAAAATTGGGGGGAAAAAGGTTTTGTTCATCCAGAAATGTCTGCTTATATGTAAATACAGAACAGCAGTCCTCTAAGTACTTATTTATGTCTCCTTTTGTATTAATGATTGCATCGTTTCCATCCCGTGTTCAAAAAGTAGCTGGTAAAAGTTAAACTGACAAAGCGACAATTGTGGATTACCTGTTATATTTGAGTGTGGGGGGTCTTGAGTCACTGAATCCAATTGCAGCACAGATCTTATTCATGTGCTCCAGACTCTGGCCCAGGGTTTGCTGTGCATTCCTCTCAGTGCTTGAGCTAACCTCCATGCATGTCCGCTTTGTTTCTACTACACTTTTTCCTTGGCAGCCTTCCCTATAGTTTTAGGTCAAAAAAATTAACATAATATAATGGAGAAATTCATTCTCTGCATTTGGCCCACCCCCTCGGGGAGCAGTGGGCTGCCATTGTGTGGCTCCCCGGGGAGCAGCGGTGGTTAAGGGTTTTGCTGTGTGGATCGACTTGCTACTTGCAACCTTCTCAGAGCACAAGCGCACTGCTCTAACCACTAGGACAACACTCCCATATAACATGTCTATGTTTGAAATATTTCTTTATTGATTTTACAGAACACCTAATTTCCTTGGAAAACTGCATTTTATTGTTTTGATGTTGCTGAAAGCAATAATCATCAAGCTGTACATTTAATACTTGAAATCACAGCTTCAGGCACTGTAACATATTGATATTTAGCCATATGTACCTGCTTAAAAAAACAATTGC